TTTTCTTTTTCTTGTTCTTGTTCTTGTTCTTGTTCTTGTTCTTGTTCTTGTTCTTTTTTCTTCTTCTTTCTTCTTACTTCTTCTGTTCTTGTTCTTATTCTTTTTTTTTCTTTTTCTTCTTTTTATTCTTCTTCTTCTTCTTCTTTCTTCTTCTTCTTCTTCTTTCTTTCTTCTTCTTCTTCTTCTTCTTCTTTCTTCTTCTTCTTCTTCTTTCTTCTTTTCTTCTTCTTCTTCTTCTTTCTTCTTCTTCTTCTTCTTCTTCTTCTTCTTCTTCTTCTTCTTCTTCTGCTTTTTCTTCTGCTTCTGCTTATTCTTTTTCTGCTTGTAATATAGCGTGGCTTGACTTGGAATGTACCTTGGCTCACTACATATTGGCTTTCGCCACGGCTCACTCTCTGGATTTTTACTGCTACAAAACGTGCACTGCTTTAACGTCTAGGGTTGACAACACAAACGCCGCTCATCTTCTTTGTACATGCTGTCAGTTTATTCTATTCCATTTATTCCACGTTTTCAAACAATTATTCTCACTTTCATCGCTTACGACAAATTCAAACACTGGCCATTCGCGCGACATAAAGACGATATCTTCAAATACCACAACCGTCTTCTCTGACTTCTGTTAATCAACTGACCACGAGTCAAGCTCAGGCTGCCCCTCGCTTACTCGACTAGGTACAAGTATCTCGTGCTGTCCCTTGTTGCACGGACTTTCTGCTTGCCACAATGTAATCGTGGATATCATGCAAAGCACCTCATCACACTTCTTCTTCTTCTTCTTCTTCTTCTTCTTCTTCTTCTTCTTCTTCTTCTTCTTCTTCTTCTTCTTCTTCTTCTTCTTCTTCTTCTTCTTCTTCTTCTTCTTCTTCTTCTTCTTCTTCTTCTTCTTCTTCTTCTTCTTCTCCTTCTTCTTCGTCTTCTTCTTCTTCTTCTTCTTCTTCTTCTTCTTCTTCTTCCTCTTCTTCTTCTTCTTCTTCTTCTTCTTCTTCTTCTTCTTCTTCTTCTTCTTCTTAGGGTTCCGTTTCGTTAGCTCAGATAAGACCATCAGGTAGGTTGCCTCTATGAACTCGCATGTCAGTAGCAGGTTTTTCATGGTTCCCCATAACCTGCTCTGTACGCACGCTTTGCACTTAAGGCCAGGTGTCTTTTCGAAGTTGTATGTAGAGTGGGCAGATCTGCAGAAGTAATTTGGTTGCATCTGGGGATCAACGACCTAATGCTTTATCAGCACGTCCAGACGATTCACAAGTAATGACTTAAACAATAAATAATTAGTTATCCAATGTTGCTTGTTTTGTTTTGTTTTAAAAATGTTCTGAAAGTTCTGAAAGCTGATTAACTACAGCGATGTTTGAGTTCAGTTTCTCGATGACAACCTGCTTTTTTTTTTTTATGTTTTTTTTTCGGTATTTATTTGTTGTTGCGTAAGTTGACAGCTATTCCTTAATTTCAGCACCTGGAACCAGGCCATCATTATCATCTTTTTGTCTCTTCGTCTGACGACTCGCCGATTACGTCGGAGGAAGGATGTGTATTGACTTTTCGGGTGAAAATCAAATAAACATCTTAAAGTCAAAAGCAAGTGGATTAAAAAAAAAAAAAAAAAAAAAAAAAAAAAGACGAATATTGGCGTGGATGAAGGTGCTTTTCTATCAATTCACCCTATTCTCAGAAATCTAAGATCTCGCGGGGAGCTCCCAGGAAAGCCCTGTAGTGTAGGAGTTTTAAGGTGTGAAAGAACAACCACATAACACTAACCAACCCCCCCCCCCCCCCCCCCTTTCGCCATAAATTGAACTTTTCGGCAACTTCAGACGAAATTTCGTAGTCTCGCGACAGGGTAAACTAAAAGAAAAGTACCTCGCCGAATATTGGAGTTCCACTGTGCATGAAGACCAGCATTAGACGATGTAGAATGCCAGAAGAAGACATGCAACTACTTACAACATGCAATATCAGTTCACTTAAAATACTTAACCGTTTTTTCTTTATCACGTTGTTGAAATGTAATACACTCAGAGCAAATAGAAGACCACATACACATGGATCGACTGCATCAAAAACGGCCTCAAAGAAATGAATATCAACTTAAAAAACTCATTGCAAAGGGCACTCCAAGGAACTGCACCCCCTTCCCTCACCAACTACTTTTTTTCTTTTTAGATACTTGATAGGCACTTATAGAAGCACCCGTCTGCAGTTCAGATTAGTGCATTTGAAAATGAGTAGTAAAATCAGAATTTCAGTTTGCGAAACACGAAAATGCACCTTGTAGGCGGAATTATATTTGTTTCTTTCTAATCCTAGATAATTGATCTTTCGATATTCACAAAACACTCGTATTATTGATGTTTTCAGTTATTTCGACATGAAGTATTTTCAGCTTGGAAATTATTTAGTTTTCCCAAGTTTTTAATACATGTGCATTTCAGTCTGTGCGATGTTTGTGTTGTGCCCTGTCTTGTTTTTGAAGCTTTAGATGGAGAGAACAAGATAGACC